GAGGAAGGCTCCAAACAAGAGGGTAGCTGGAGAATATGTTAAATAACGTAATTTCGTATTTCCTTTTCAAAACTATTGTCTTTGAACTACCAAATATAGAAAGTACGGCTAACATCATCTCAGCTGGAAGGATATAGGTTTTTAAAAAATTAATACTAGTTGTAAAATGGATCTCCTTAAGAACCAGTCAGGGTGATATCCTCAGCCAGCGAGGCCTTTCTGTTATTCCCAATCCTAAATAAATCTAACAGGGTGCGTTTGTTAAAGTATAAGATGTGTATGAAGATAAAACGTAATAAAAATATTTGGGTTTGAAATATTTTGAAAATGAGGAAGAAGGTAAATAACTCCAAGCATAAAATCACCCTCTGAGCCCAAGTCTGAAAACACCTTTGTATCCCTCAGAGCAGGGGTCCCAAGCCGCCCAGCCACTGCCCAGTACAGGTCGGTGGCTTGTGAGGAACCGCGCTGTGAGGGGAGCTGCCTGAGCTCCGCCTCCTGCCCCTCCCCGCCCCTCCCCACCCCTACCCCGACTCGGCTACACCCCCCCACCCCCATTCGGCTACCCCCATCCCTGGCCGGGCTTCGCCTTCTGTCCACTCCTATCTGTGGAAAAAACCGGTCCCTGGTGCCAAAAAGGTTGGAGACCACTGCACTAGAGTGTCGATACACTTGGATGGCCATCAATTAATTGACACAATTGGTAGAGTGCTCCCTCGCTGCCAAAAGTAGCCAAGGTCTGTCACTTTGTGTGATGTCGTCTTTCACCAAGATTATATGTTTGCCTTTACAGTCAACCAAAGAATGCGCCCAACTGGCTTGTTTTCTTGGTATGGCTGGGATTAACTTCCTGCTTTCTCAGGGTGTTTTCCCTGCTTTTTCTACATAATAGAAAAAACGTCCTTCTAACTCTGGTCCTTCTGACTCTGGAAAATTATCAACAGATTATCAAACTTCTAAGTATAAAGCAAATGTCATACTTCATGATTGCGCATTTGAGTATTATTTTGATCTTTCAATGACAACCTGAAAAACCTGACTTCCGATGAGATCAGAGTTCATGTTTAATATCCAGAAATAGATAACAAATCTTACTTGTATTTCATTTGATTTTCTTGCATTTTCCTTCTCCCTCAGAGTCTAATAACATGAGATTTAAAAATCTACCAATAATAATAGGCCTTAAGACTTCCAAAGCTGAGAGGGTCCATAAAGATGTTCCAAATAATTCATTCCCCTAATTTCACAGAAAGTCATTAAGTAATTTAAGGTCACTTGGCTCCCAGAGAAAAGACCAGGATTTGCGTCTTCTACTATGAGATTGGGTGTTTATCCAGTTTTGTTTATGGGCCCTTTACTCTGTACAAAGACCCATGATGACCCTGGAGGATACACTGGTGAAGGAAACAGGGTTCCTGGCCTCCTGCAGCTTAACTCTGGGTGTCAGGGACTGCAACAAAACAAGTAAACAAGCATTGAGTAAGAAATAGAAGGGTAATGAGAACTTGGATAACTATCAAGAAGGAAACAGTGGGGTAAAGAGAGTACATGGGGAATTGGGAGCAGTAAATTTCAGGCAACAAAAAATGAGTTGCATGGAAGAGGTAGTAAAAGAAGCCCGAGGCGGCTTTGGAGAAGTGAAGCCAAGGCAAAGTGATCCCCCAGGTAAGGCTGGAGAGGAAAAACGGAGAGGCCAGGTGAGCCGAGGTCTTGGAGGTGTCCACGCAAGAAACGTTCAAACCTGCAGAGAATTTTTGGTGAGTTTATTTGAGCCAAACCGAGGACAATTGCCAGGAAGCAACATCTCAACAGATTGAGAGATGCCCTGGAGAAGGCAGTTTAGCGCCTTATTTTACACATTAGAATCAAAGAAGGAGACAGGAGGTGGTTACAGGAAGTTCATTGCTGAGAGATTAGGGGAGGCAGGAGAAAGCAAAGCAGGGAAACCTCTGGGTTTGGATAAAAGGTGAAATGATAGACACATACTTGTTTTACATACATAGGTAAGGGATCGTTAACAATAGTAATGAGGGGATTTGTGGTCTCAGCTTGTGCCCAAGGGGTTTGGGAAAAAAGGGAGGTTACCTTGACATTCCACAGGTATGTTATCATAGATGCAATAGATAGCAAAAGACAGTAGATAGGCTCAGTTAGAGTAAACATTGGCGTTTGTTAGGGAAAAATACTGCCTAGGACGTGATTACCCGCTAGGAACTGTTTTTAGTTAATAAGTTTTAATTTTAGACCATCCTTTTTGGTTACTTTAGGTCTCTCAGTTTCTAAGGCTGCCACACAAGCCTCCCCTGAACTTGTCATGTTAACAAGGGTCTGGCACAAATAATGTTTTCTTTTTTTATTACAAAATCTATTACAAACTCATAAGCATGTAATTCTGGAACATAACAATAGCACATTCAAGCATACTGTATGACATTTGAGGTCAAATATTCAAATTAAAACTGTAAATTATTACACCCATATTATTACCCTGCCAACTATCAAGCAGGCCTTACTCCTGCCAGACCCTGTATGTGGCCCCTCTTCTTCCACAGAGGCATGAAAACTATATTCCCTTCCAAGGCATTGATTGGGAAGCTGAGAAGGATTTTCCTCACCGGATGATCTGAGCTGATTAATGTTTTTAAAGATTACTTTGACTCCTATAGACAGAGAAGGGAGTAAAGGCAGAGACATTTTACTTTTTTTTTATTTGAATTACACTAAATTTGATAAGAAAAGAAAGCTAGCTTCTCCAGGCATGGTAAATGTTGCCTATGGAAATATTAGGCACCATTTAGGTCATTTTACGAGGTGATTCTGATTGAGGATTAATTGCCACTACATCCTTTTGATTGTTATTGTGAAAATCTCCAAGGCTTGCTAAGTAACTATTCAGTACTTTACAAAGAAGTTGATCCCTGGTATACATCTCTTCCTATAGGTGAGCGAATGAAAATACAGACCAGTGGAACGAGATGAAACTAAAACTTGTCTTTTGGTGCTCTAGTCAGTTCTAAACCTCTCTTCTCTCACTCCCTCTCTCTGGTGTTACACACAACAAATCCAGCATCTCTCATGTTACAGCCAGATCTTCATGTTCTAGGAGCAAAGGGACCCAAAGGCTTCCGAATATCTCAGAAGTTTCTAAGCAGCTGTGTTTGTTTGGGGTGTGGGATGGGGGTGTAGTCCAGAAAAAATTTAAAGTTATAAATCTCAACTCCAGATTATCAGATTTTAGAACTGGGAGGGGCCTCAGAGATCCACTAATCCCTCTGATTCTTTTGCAAATGAGGAAACCGAGACTCATAGAAGCCAAGTTTACAAAGCTGGTGGGTGGCACCTCTCAGGTTGCACCCAGTTCTGCCTTCTCCCAGGATCTCAGGACCCCTCAGGAGCACTTCCTTTAAAGGAGATCAACCAAGAAAACCAACTCAGCAATTCCTCAAAGACAAGATAGAGACAAACCGCGGGGGAACTCGGGAGAGATTCTCATTTAGGCCGGCTCTGCAGAGGGCCCAGTGCCAGACTTACTAGTGCCATGGAGATACACAAAGCTCCTATTTGAAATGATTATAGAAAAAAGTACCTGCTCCTCTAGGGAGTGTTGACCATATAAGCTAAAAAAGTTGAGAGATAAAAGAACTGAGGGCAGAAGAGTAGACAGGAACAGGAAGGAAATTCTGGGTGGGAGGATCATTATAAGCGATGGCATGGCGGGAGGGGATACCTGAAAATAGAAAAAGTCTGCCCATGGCAAGTGAGCAATAAATATTTGTGCTTGACAGTGATGCGTGGAGCATTAGAAAGTAGAAAGTAGTGAGGAATAATGTTACATGAGAGCAGCTAGATGAAGGTGGGGCCTTGGAAATCAGGTAGCAAGGTTTGATCAGTGCACAAGACAGACTTGTTCAGCCCGGGAATGAATACATTATATAAATATCTGGCATATTGGAAAAAAATGCTGATGCACCTCTGAAAGAAGGGATGAAGAAAAACAAGAACAAGTTGTACAAAATGCAGTTCATCCGTGAGCAAGCATTAAGTGTTTATTGAGTGCTCGCATTGTGCAAGGAACCAGGCAGGGAAAAGTATCTAAGACGTGGTCCTTTGCTGGCCAAATAAGGTATGACATGCCTATAAAATGGAGCAGGATGCAGCCATTAAAAAGAATGTGGTATGACTTAAAGGATATGACTATGTACACAATCTCCATGTTTTGAGTTTTAAGTCTTAAAAGTAAGGAGCAGAACTAGCACATCTGTATGCTGTTTCTAAAGAAGAGGGGCAGACTTATGTTTATATTTACATAAACAAGCTCTGGACAGAGAAAAAACACTGGGGAGGACTGAAAAAAGACTAACTTTTTTCTGTCCATTATTTTGATCCTTTTGCATTTCATGTCAGGTGCACATAGTGCCTATTCAAAAATAAGTTTTAGAAATTTAAAAGCTCTACTCTTTTGCAAAGGTGCTCACCAGTTTATGTCATGGATCCTGGATCCTAATCTCACCTGTTTCAATGAACATGTGCCCTTCACCTCCACAGGTGCCCCTTTCTAGACTCGCTAGTATTAGCTGATGCACCTCTTCTCCTTTGCCTGCCCTCCGCAGAAACAGAAGCAATAAAAAGAGAAAGTAAGGTCCTCTGGCACAAGTAACCTTTTTATCTGCTTGGTCTGCCTGCCTCGTGCTTGCCACATTATCTGATACCCACATATCTTATGGAACCTGCCTCCTATAGGACAGCAACATTTTCTTTAGTTGAGAAGACAAAGGAAGTTTAAAAACAAAAAAATGCCCAGAGTTTGGCCAAATGCACTCTTTCAAGCTCCTGCCTAAACTTCCTATTTCCTCTGGGCTTAAAGGAGATGATGTTCTTTGGCAAGAAGGGCTTTGTTTTTGTCTCCAGTCCACACAAACCCACACTTTTTTCTCGTGTCACGTGCCTGGCTCAAGCCAGTGGGCTGCTGTGTAACTCGATCTCCGTGGCCAGCCTCTTGACCCACTCCAGTAACAACAGGGGACAGCAGGGGACAACAGGCTTAAGCGGCAGCAGTGGAACAGCAGCCACCGAGGTAGGGGCTGAAGGGGAAGAAACAGCAGCCCTGAGCTGTGGCCGGAACCTTGGAGGAGCTGGGAATCAGCCCACTGCAGAGGTAAGCGGGAGCTGCCGGGAGGCACGCTGTTTGCCAAGGTCAAGACCAGTTAAAATTCATTTAAAGAAAGGCAAAGTGCATTCTTCTCACCCCTGCCACCTCCTTGTCCGCTCCACTCTCGGTACAGGTGAGATCTGTGTCTGAACAATGTCCCAGGATGTTTTCTTCGTTCTCCTTAACTTCCTTCTTTCTTAATTAATTCTAAAGAATTTTAAATTGAGGTAAGGTTGGTGTATAACATTGTATGTTTCAGGCGTGCAACATTATAGTTCAGCATCTGTACGTACTGCATCATGCTCACACCCCGAAGTCTAGCTGCCACCCCTCATGATGCAGCTGACCCCCTTTACCCATTTGGCCCTCCCTCCACCCCGTCCCCCTCCGGTAAGCACGGATCTGTCGCCTGCCTCTGTAAGTTTTTTTGTTTATTGTTGTTGTTTGCTCATTTGTTTTGTTTTATATCCCACCTACGAGGGAAATCATATGGTGCTTGTCTTTTTCCATCTGACTTATTTTACTTAGTATAAGACCTTTAAGGTCCATGTAGGGTGTCGTAAATGGCAGGATTTCACCTTTTTATGGCTGAGTAATATTCTGTTGTATATATACCACACTTTCCTTTATCCATTTAGTGGTCGATGAACACTTAGGTTATTCCCGTATCTTGTTTCTTTTTTTATTGATTTAAGAGAGAGAAGCATCGATTTGTTGTTCCACTTATTTATGCATTCACTGGTTGATTCTTATATGTGTCCTGACTGGGGATCGAGCCTGCAGCCTCAGTGTAAAGGGATGATGCTCTAACCAACTGTGCTACCCAGCCAAGGCCCTCCTTGCCTTGACTATTGTGAATACTGCTGCAATGAACATAGGTGTGCATATATTTTTTTAAATTAGTACTTCATGTTCTTTGGATAAATACCCAGAAGAGACATAGCTGGGCCTTACGGTAATTTGAGAAATCTTTATACTGTTTTCCCCAGTGGCTACACTAATTTACATCCGACCAACAGTGCACAAGGGTTGTCTTTTCTCCTCATCACCAACATTTATTATTTCTTGTCTTTTTGATGACAGCCATTCTAACAGGTGTGAGGTAATACCTTATTGTGGTTTTGATTTCCAGTTCCCTAATAAGTAGTGATGTTGAACATCTTTTCATGTGCCTGTTGGCCATCTGTATGTCTTCTTTGGGAAAATGCCAGCTTAGAGCCCTTGTCCATTTTTTATTGATTTTGTTGTTGTTGTTGTTGTTGAGATGTTTGAGTTCTTTGTATATTTTGTATATTATATTAACTGCTTATCAGGTATATGATTTGCAAATATCTTCTCCCATTCGGGAGGTTGCCTTTTCATTTTGTTGATGTGGTGTTTTTTTTCTAGTTTTTGGGGATTGGTTTTTTTGTTTTGTTTTGTTTTGTTTTTTGCTGTACAGAAGCGCTTTAGTTTGATGTAGTCCCATTTGTTTATTTGTGCTTTAGTTTCCTTTGCCATGGAAATTAAATTCACAAAAACATTGCTAAGACTGATATCCAGAAACCTAATATTTATGTTTTCTCTGTATTTTATGGTTTTGGGTGTTACATTCAAGTCCTTATCCACTTTGAGTTCATTTTTCAGTTTGGTTGAAAGATAATTGTCTAGTTTCATGCTTATGCATGTGGCTGCTGGGACATTTTCTTAGTGCACAGAGTACCCTGTATGTCTGTCACTGAAGTGTGTGACCTCTGCCTCTGTTTGTACCGCCTACCTCTTCTGTTGTCTTCTTTTGGTAGCAGCTGGAAGGTAATTCTGTCATATGGACTTGGGTTTGGCTTCAAAACTATGTGTAAGAGGAACTCCCCAGTCAGATCTCAAAAGAGGGAAAGCTGACTGGAAGAGACCAGCAGGAAGCAGCTGTGGTCTAATTGCTTCTCTCTAACCTGCCAAAGTCACCTGGAAGTGATGGGGCCATTACAAGTCTTAAAAATGTGAAGGCCCAAGACAGATGTGTGGGCTAGGAGCTAGATAACCATGTCAAAGCTGTTTTGATGCAACATACTGAGATTCATCAACAATGTCTCCCGCCTTAGGGTTGCTAGTGGCCTGGTAGTACCTATGGCAGGTGCTGCACGTTTGTGCTAATCCAAAAACACATGTAGCCCCAAGAAAAGTGGTTAGCAAGACTGGCTTTTGCCAGAAACTGTGGAGTTTAGGACAAGTCAGTTCTGTTATCTAGGCTTAACAAAGTTTGCTGGTTGAGATGAATACAGTCAGTGTGCCAAAGGGAGTGAACAACAGACCCAGGGTGTTGCGGTTCCTGTCCAGGCCTTTTGGCAAACAAGGCAAGATGGAGAAGAAACAAAAAGACTTGTGGTGTGTCTCATTGTTTCATGTGCAACTCCAACTAAGTTTCTCTGGTTGGGGAAGAAAGATTCCATTCTGTATGGTAAAGCAGAAGTGCTCTGAGCCCCAACTTGACCTGAGACAGGAAAATGGTTAGTACAGGGGAAGGTGCTGAGATATTTATTCAACAGCAAATGCTGGGCACTTTCTGGGGCCAAAAACACAATGCTTTTCATTCATTTCCCCTTCTTTTATTTGTCCGACAAATGCTTCCTGAGTATCTGGTGCTGTAGATAGAGTAAACAAGATAGGCAGGCCTTCGGCCTCCAGGGCACGCCCGTCCAGGGGGACCACAAACTCAAGGGTTCAGGCACAGGGTGGCAGCGAAAGGAAGCTGTTTTTGTCTCAGAGTTTAACCTTTCCGTTCGTGCATTTCATCTCCTTGAATGAAGACCTTTTTCCTGCAAAGTCTCACTTAGGCACAGACCTTGGTCAGAGCAGCTCCTCAAACCCCTCTTCACCAGAGGCTTTTGGCGGTGTCACTGCATTGCAGATCTGACTCCTCAGCCCTGGCAGCAGGTTGCTTGGCTTTTGCTAAGGATGCCAACGGCCTGCAATACCAGGAGTTTCAGTCCATGTCGTTAGCCCTCTCCTTGAGTCATTTTCCACAGATGAAACAGAATTGGCACTATTCCAAAAACGTATGGCGCCCTAGGTGAAGGGTTAGGAAGCCTCGGTTTTGCCACAAAGTGTGTGGAGTTTGGAACGAGTCAGTTCTGCTGTCTTAGCTTTATCTCCTTAGCTATAAAATAGACAGGGTAGATCAGATGCTCCACAAGCTCGTTTTTGTTTTTTTTTTTCCTCCTCTAAAGGTAAATAATTGTAAGAATTTTATAAGATGTTTACAAAGAAACCTTGCACATTCAATAAAGATTATAAATCTTATACCTATAAAATGGGAACATTCCTCAACCATACTGGATATCCAGGAACATGGAATCTGAAAGAATCAGGCTACAAATAACACATAAAATTAAATTCTCTACTCCTCCCACCCTCTCTCCAGTCCGCTGTCCTGTATCCGTCCCTGAGGTCATAAGCATCAGCTGTAACCTCCCTGTGCCTTTTACCTAGATTGGGAGAATCGTCTGCTTTTGAAAGAACCACACGAAAAAGTATCTAATTTGAATAATCCCACAATACATATCAAATTCCCTTTAAGGAGGAATCAATTCATTGTTATAAAGTATCAGAATAAGCCCTGGCTGGTGTGGCTCAGTGGATTGAGCACCGGCCTGTGAACCAAAGGGTCACTGGTTTGATTCCCAGTCAGGGCACATCCCTGGGTTGCAGGCCAGGTACCAGTTGGGGACATGAGAGAGACAACCACACATTGATGTTTCTCCCTTCCTTCCCCTTTCTCTAAAAATAAATAAAATCTAAAAAAAAAAAAGACTTGAAGTAAAGTATCAGAATACTTACAATGCATTTCATTTCTTTCTTTTCCCTGAATGCATTCTCATCATAAATTCTATTTCATAACCTCCTCCTATATACTTTCTCATTTGGAAAAATCAAAGTTATCTAGTATTACTTTATTAAATAGGACAAGAAGCATGTCTTATTTATCTTTGTATCCCTTGTGTCTAACAATGTATCTAGCACACAATGAATGTTTCTTGAAAGGATGATTCCTATTTTAGAAAAACGTGTTCTAGCCCTGGCCAATGGCTCAGTTGGTTGGAGCCGTGCCCTGTACAACAAAATGTTGTGGCTCTGATCCCCATTGTGGGTGCAAATGGAAGGCAACCAACGGATCAATGTTTCTATCCCATGTGGATGTTTCTCTTTCTTTCTCAAATGAAGAAATATATTCTCGGGTGAGGATGTTCTGTTTTTCCTTTGGTATTAAAGACACACACAAACAATATCTAACCCACTATGCAGGGCAAACAGAAGCTGATCTCATTCTTTTGTGTCTCATTACAGTCCTGATACGTACCCTGCATTCACTAACATCAGCACATTCTATACTTTTTGCAGATTCAGTTGGTATAATGAGCACTGAATTCAATTTGCCACTAAATAGCCGTGTAATTTGAAGTTGAATACGGAATATCTCTAGGCCTCCATTTATTCAGATGGATAATGGGGCATTAGAATAGATGAGCTTAAAACAACTGCTAACTTCGGGTTCTTAGATGAGAGACTTCAAAAGGTAGAGATAGAGGAAGCACAATAAAAATGTGATGATTATAGTACTTTGATATGTTTAATATTTAATAATTGTTGTTAATTTTGTTTGCCAAAATTTCTTTTCTTTCTTTCAGAGAGAGAGGAAGAGAGAGAGAAACATTGATTTGTTGTTCTACTGACTTATGTATTTATTGGGTGATTCTTTGTATGTGCCCTGCCTAGGGATCAAACCCACAACCTTGGTGTGTCAGAAAGATGCTCTAATCAACTGAGCTACCCAACGAGGGCTAGTTTGCCAAAATTTCTAACTTGAGCACTACCATTGGCAAAGAATGTTAAGGAGCTTCTCTAGGTAAAGACACATCTGCCCCCAATGTGTCTCCCCTAGAATCTTTCTGATGGACTCTGTTCACTTAAAACTGAAAACATGTCTGCGGACAGGTATGGACGTACAGAAAACAAGCTGCTTTGGCATAAAA